GGGAAAGAGGCGCCCAGAGGACAAGTCGATACAAGAACCAGGGTGAAAGGAAGAGCACGAGCTCAAATGAGAGGGAAATGGGAGAGCTTGAACAACAGAGACCCCTGCAAGATCTTCCCGTGTGAGCGAGACAGCGAGGAGGAAGAAAGCGCGCTGGAATGGAGAGATGGGAAGTTGAGCGTCTTAGCACAAGACTCCTGTTACTTTAAGCGGGGAAAGGGGTTGATTGTGAATAAAGAGGAGAGATGCGCGCAGCCGGGGAGGAAACGATTAGGAAGAAACGAGGACTGGGTATCAGCTGTGAGGTAACACTGACCCAGGCGTTTCTTCCTGATAAATAGAGAAGACCCCATTGGAGTCGCTCTCTTGGAAGTTCTGAGGTTAGAGCAGCATCATACCTCCCTTTCGCTCAACCGACTGGTCCCGTGAAGGGAGTTCATGGCACTTCCACGTCGGGGACATCTGGCCTCGCTGCAGATCAAGGGAGCGTGCACGTGGGATTGGGGATTGCCCTGAGGAGGGTACGGCGAACCATTGCCAAATATCATGGAGGCTGCTCTAGGGGGACAGGGTGGCTTACTAGCTGCGGAATCCCTGGGGGGTCTCACAGGGCAGGAGCCTGGATGGGCATTGGAGCCTCCCCCCCCCCCACGGAGGCAGGGGGAGCTTGGCTCCTGCAGCATTTGCACGTGTCTGCCGCTCCTGCTCCTGCTCCAAGCAAAGCAAAGCATCGTAATACAGTAAAGCAGCTCCGACATGTCATTAATCCACAATTCATCTTTGTAAAGATTAAACAGCCGCCCAACAAGAATAACATCCCTGTTAGCAGCACGGCGGGTGACTCCCCTGCCCCTCTGGGGCCGTCCAAGCCGTCTCCTTCTGCGTCCAAAGCTTCCTTGTCCTGTGAGTCAGGCCTTTGGTCTGTCTGTCCCACTCTTGCCTAACCCGACTGGCAGAGAAGCTTCTTTTGCTGGCTATTGAGCCGAGGACCTTCTGCACGCCAAGGAGTGCTGTGCCACTGAGCTGTGGCCCCTCTGTTTTGGAAAGGAGCCTCTCCCGTTAAAGGAGCTCAAGTCTCCAGGCCGGGAAAGAGCCTGAGGCCTTGGAGACAGACCGTCCAGGCACAAGGCAGCTTCTGGGTCAAATAGGGCCTAAGAGAGGAGCAGCCATCTCTCCAAGGGCTGAGAAAGGGAGAGAAACGAACATCTATTTTATTTATTTTAATTTTAGGTATTTAATTTCTATCCTGCCCTCCCTGCCAAGACAGGCTCAGGGTGGCTTACAAGATATATATGTATTAAAACATCAAAATGTGTTAAAACATAAAAAAAATTACATAAAACCACAGCATATAAAATCATAATTGCTAGTAGACATGGTGAGCGATGCCGGTATTCTTTCGGCATCCAAAAGGATTTTTGGAGAGGGACCACAGATAGCATCATGGCAGAGCACACACTTTCCATGTTCAGTGCGCAGGCCCTGGTGTCTCCACTTAAACAAAATTTTGATTGCGTGACTGGTGAAGACCTTGGGCGCTCTATCCCTGCGAGTTGACATAGCCAGCACTGGGTTCGATGGCTCACTGTAGGTCACCTTTGTATATGAGAGGAATTGCAGAGAGGAACAGAGCTTGCCTTGATGCGGAGGCAGCGTAATACGTTTGTGTAAAGAGAATGTTAGCTGCACCGCTAAGTGGAATCACTGTGCTTTTGCCTGGCTTTTGCGGC